CAAAATTCAAAATGCCTAATTGATTTTTTAGCTTATAAAAGTAGCTTGTGTACCAGGTTTTTCTCTCTTTTAAATGCCATTTGATAAAGCCCTGTGTGGTGAAACGCGTTTTGGCTATTACAAAGTCTGTTATATATATTGATAATTTATATTTTAATAAAGGAATATTGGCCCTTATTTTTTGCCTATATACTTTTAATTCCTTTTATTTTTTTATTGTTATTTTCAATTTGAATTACCTGGTCATCAATTTGGATTGAAGTACGTCAACTTCCAAGAATCCTAAGGTGGGGATTGTACCACCTGCGCCATCATACTGAGCAGTATTTCCTGCTCATGTACATGTGAGTATTTTACTTATTTTATTTGTTTTTACAAACATCAGTGAGCACTATATACGTCTCTCATTTTTTATATACCGAGGAATTGTCCAGGACCCCATCACCTATATCCTACCAGTGGGGGATTGACGCCACTGAACGCTAAGAACACTTGAGCAAGGTTTCTTTGCTCACGCCAAGGTGAGTCATTTACCTACTTACAGACCTATACCTGGAAACTATATCGACATTCTACTCTATTGGAGTTCCTCTTCTTCTTCTTTTTTTTTATGTATCTACGTATTGACAAGCATTTCAAGACATCCTCAACATAAGAAGACTCAGATACCCATTTGGACTGTATACTCTCCTAGAACCACACAGGTTTATTTATATTTGGGACTTTTTTATTACTTTTATTTATTCTATTTATTTTACCTTCTTGTCCCCTTAGCGCGACCTATATACCTTTTTCTGTCTCCCTTGCATGGGCAGAATCTCATAAAAGCAGAGTGTGTGTCATTAAACATCAGTTCTTCTTGACCCTTCAAAACGTAGCCTTGTCTCATTCTTGAAAGGGGAATCTCTGCAGCTTAATCACTTAGCTCTTTTCAGAGCTGCACCTGGCTTCCACTCCTGATCCAGCAGAAGGGAATAGGCGACTCCATCACTACACAGCGACTGCCAGGAAGAAAAGGACGTCCTTAATGGCTGGTAACCTCTCTACACCAGGGTAGCCGTTACAGTATCCAATGGTCTAATCGCTGGTAAATCTTGTGGTCACTATTCTATTCAAATTCTCCTTGATCTTTCTGCTGCTTTTGACACAGTTTATCATCAACAGCTTCTTCTAACCCTCTGTAATCTTGGCCTATGGGATATTGCTCTCTCCGGGTGCTTCTCCTACCTCTTCCAGCTCTCTTTCATTGTTTCTTTCTCTGGCTTTGCCTCTTCCACCTCAACCACTCTCTGTCGGTGTCCCCCAAGGTATTTGGTTCACTACTGTTCTTTATCTATTCTGCCTCCCTTGGTAAATCCATCAGCTCTTTTGGCTTTCATTATAATTTCTATTTGGATTACACGCAAATCTATCTGTCCTCTCTCTGCCCCTCTTGACTCGTGTCTCTTACTGCCTCTCTGCAATTTCCAACTGGATGGCTGCTCACTTCCTTAATCTCAACCTGTCCAAAACAGAACTTCTGGTCTTTCCTTACTCAAGTGTTGCTCCTACCTTGTCAGCTCTACCTCGTAGGCTCGCTGCCTAGGTGTTCTTTTTGACTCCGACCTCTCCTTCACCGTCATGTTCAGTTAATCGCCAAATTCTGCCACTTCCAACTCAAAAACATAGCGCACATCCGCTATTTCTATCCTCTGTCCATACTCCCACCTCTAATGCGTCTTCTTTAGGGCTGCACCATTCATGTGGAACTCTTTTCTTTTCTCCGTTAGACTTTCACCCAGTCTCTATTACTTCAAAAATCATTGAAAACTCAGTTCTTCAGAAAAATTGATCAATTAAACTGTTAAAAGCTTTTCCTCCCTCAACTGCAACTGTTAAAAACACAACTAAGCTCTCAATGAATACTTTTCTAGCAACCTACTTCTCTACCCATATCCTGACCCTTTCTGTCACTATACCCCACTCCCACTAGCATGTGAGCTCAATGAGCAGGACCCACCTGTTGTACAGCGCTATGGAATTTGTTGGCCCTTAAATAATAATAATAATGATGATTATTTAATTGCCTAAATGAGGGCTGACATTGTGTCATAGTGGATTTCCCACAGACGGCTGTATATAACATATGGAGTGAAGGTCTAGTGATGTCTCCGTAAAAAGATATTGCAGTAAAAAGGCAGAGAGTGCCAAATGTAAGTCTTAAGTTGCCGGGTGAAGAATAGGCTGTATGAGATGTACGGACTATGGCATGAACAACTGTAGGTTAATTTTACCAAGGCTGTAGGAGTTTGAAATGTGACAACACTTTTGAGAAAGCCATTGAATGGTGAAACACGTTATCAATAAAAGTACTTTTTTATTGGACCTGTTTGCTGCTGGATTTCTGTTCTCCATATCCTTGGTGGGGATAATACAACCTAAGCCTGTTGGACAGGTTAATCCATATTTGCTCTATCAAATGTGAGTAGCTTGTATCTATTTCATTTTATTTATCACTTTTTACAGTCTATACTATTATGGATTGATTTTCTCTTTTAATTATATAATCGGAGAGAGATCACCAGCACCTCTATCCTAAAGTGGGGATCATACCACTTCATGTCATGGCTGTGAAGCCACTCTCTAGGCTCCAGAACATGCACCCACGCCTCACCCTTCTCTCAGTCCCTACATTGGCTTCCTGTAAGATATAGGGCTCAGTTTAAAATTCTTAAATCTCTACATAATGCTGCTCCCACCTCCTTAATACACAAGTATGTCCCTTCTAGGCCCTTACACTCTGCTGAAGACTTATGTCTATCTTCTGTCCATACTCCCACCTCTGTTGCTCACCTTCAAGACTTCTCCAGGGCTGCACTGTTCCTGTGGAACTCACTTCCCTCCTCCATTAGATGATCACCCAGTCTCCACTCCTTTGAAAAAGCATTAAAAACCCACTATTGATAACTCCCAAGTGATTCCTCTCTTGCAACTGTCATTAGTATAACACTATCCTTACCTTTTGTGTCACTTTATCCCACTCACTCTAGCATGCAAGCTCATTAAGCAGGGCCCTCAACCCTGTGTGTCCAATTTGTCTGGTTACAACTACATGTTTGTTCATCCACCCACTGTAAGGCGCTGCAGCATTTGTTGGTGCTTTATAAATAATAACATAACAACAACAATAATAATAATAATAATAATAATGGGAGTGTACATCCTTTATAGCTATATATTTCAATATTGAGTCTAGCAAATTGCTATGTATCTATGATTTCTCCTACATATCTGCAAGAGAAGCTACATCCACAAGAACGTCCTATAGAATCTGTACTCCAACATATCCTCAGGCAGGGATTATTCTGCCCAAGCAGCTAAACTGGAGCTACACCTAAATTCCTATAAATTGTGAGTGCATCAGTTTCCTATTTCTCCTCCTTTTTATGGGTTTATGTACACAATCCAAGGACATTCCAGGCACTGCACCTCCCCCTTTGTTTTACCTGCTTCTTTGCAGGACAAGAGAGACCTAGCTGCCCTCGGATTGTACCAGTACTGGACAAGCGCTGGATATAGTCTTGTTTTTATATATTTTTAACCATAGCGTGAGATAATTTCTTTCTAGTTTTTACCAAGTGTAGTTGTAATACACATAGTGAGCTTTTACTGTATATTTTGCAAACCTTATGTTTACTACGACAGTATACTACTTCATATTAGGCAAGTGCCTGGAGAAAACATTCAGTTCGGTTCGGCATTCCGAAATTCGGATTTTCTCAATTCGGGACTTCCACAATTTGGTACTTAAAGACTTCGGAACTTCGGCAACTTCGGCACTTCAGCACTTCGGAACTTCGACACTTAGGAAATTCGGCAACTTCGGCAACCTCCCCCAGGGGGGAGGACAATAGGTCCCCCCATCATATTATCGCTCAGGGGTGGGGGCTCGGGAGGGGGGCCTCAGGCTGCTCACTGTCTAATAGACATGCCCCTAGGGCATAATTTACTAATACTAAGTAATCTTTACTTAGTATTAGTACATTTGGCTGAAAGACCAATTTAGGTCTTTCAGTCTTTTAGTAGATAGCTCCCTAATACTGTGGGGATTAAGGAGTTATCTACTTATTCATTCCTGTCATTCCATTAACAGGCTAAGTAACTTACATTTTATATGAATGTGTGTTACTTGATTGTTGTAAGTGTTGCAAATGCTTACAGCTGAATCCTGGCTATGTTTGTATACTTTTTATTTAAAATTGTATACAATGTAACATTCTCCTTCTTTCACTGGGTAAGTATATTAGTACTTAGGCAATACTGTGCTTCGGAACTTCGGCACTTTGACACTTCTGCACTTCTGCACTTCGGCACTTCGGAAATTCGGTAATTTCGGAACTTCGGGACCTCGGCAATTCGGCACTTTGGCAATTCGCCAATTCGGACATTCGGAAGTACCCGATTGTCTGAATTGCCCAAAATTCATCCGAATTCATATTCGGACTGAAACGAATTGCACATGTCTATTTCATATGTTGCTCAGCTATCTCTAAGCACAGCAATAACCCCAATGGTACCTTTTCCAGGTATATGTGCATGTTGAAGAAGGACATTTGAAACACAGCAATTTAATTTTTTTTCAAACTTTGATTTTTTTATACTGGGTCTATATCTAATTTTGGAGTATTTAAGCAAGTTGCTTATTCAAACATTTCCACAAAGGCATATCGTTTCTTAAAGAAGACATGCCAGGTTATTTCAAAATGCATATTTTGAATCTTCTTGTGGGATGTTTTTTTTCACTAGTTTGTACCAAGTGTAGGCGTGACAAGCATTTTTTTCTATTTTTATTACGCTTTTTATTTTTCCTTTTTTTACTTTTTAAAACTTTTTTTTACTTGTTTTTACTATTAACCCCTAACTAAACCCCCCAAATTACCACTAATTTCCACCCACCCCAACTAAATAAATAAATATTTTAAAAATATTACAATAATAAATTAAATAAATGGTGGGCGGAGCCTAGCCACCAGAGAGAGAAGTCGCACGACACTGCAGCTCCGATCCAAAAGCGGACAAAATCGCAATTTTCAGGGTCACCCCCGGCCATAACGAGCCCCCGGACGTCGGACCCACACACCTAACGACTATGGGACGCAAAACCAAAAAACCCAAGCAGGATCAACCCCACCTTGGGATGAATATCGGAGAAATGTGGCGCCTAGCACATGGCGCGGCCGGGCCCAAGATGGCCGACCTGTCGGGCGGTTGCTTCGATTTTTCGGACGACCTGGCCTCCGAAGAGGAAGAGACGCCTGAACTCACGCCGGCTAAACCCCCACCGACAAAACCGGACACATCCCCGGTCACACTATCGGCGCTCAAGGGTCTCCTTGCTGACCTACAGACCACCCTGCAGGCTGACATTGCCACAATCAGGGGAGGGCTGCAGGGACTGACAGGCCGAATTGACAGGCTGGAAACCACCACTCACCAGGACTCTCAGCGTATACAGGTGCTGGAGAAAGCGGTGTAAGACCTCCAGCGGCAGAACCAGACCCACGAATGCCGCTTTGCAAATCTAGAAGACCTACGGCGGAGGAATAATTTGAAGCTCCGGGGGGTACCTGATGCTGTCCCTGAAGCGGAGCTGCCACACCTGGTGCGGAGAATGATGGGGGATCTCCTACCACAAAAACAGGCGAAAGCAACACCCCTGGACGGACTTTTTAGAATCCCCAAACCGGCCAGAGCCCCACCGTCGACATCAAGCGACCTGATAATTCAATTCAGGCACGGAACAGACAAGGCAGCGATCCTGAAGGCAATCAGGGGTAGGCCAAATTATCGTTTTGAAAACATGGCACTGGAATTCTATAATGACCTGTCCGGCAGCACAATGGCCTGGCGGAGGTCGCTCAAGCCCCTCACATCCATGCTCCAACAGCGAAACATGGAGTACCGCTGGCGAATGCCCCGCATGCTTCAGATCATACATGGAGAGACCACATACCAAATCCAAGACCTACGAGAGGCAGACACACTCCTGAGGGATCTGGGACTGCCGCAGGACATTCTAATCAACCCTCAACAACAACCTGAACCCAGACACAAGCATACCTGGAATCCAAGCAAAATTACCCCGTTTACACCTCGACGAAACACAGGGGAACCGTATGTTGCAGCGACCACATGAAACACCGAGAGACGCTCTGACCGAGACCGAGGGAGACTGGAACGACCCTCAAGCTACTTCACTTTGTGACTTTAAGTTAATTTGAGTTCTTATTCTTATTATATTTTTTTTTAATTTTTTTTTCTCTCCCTTAAGTTTTAGCAAGGTGATTGAAATATCTTTCTCCATTTGTGTATGACCCAACTATCTCATGCTTTACGCCGAGATGGAGCTGGCGGTGACCCCAGCCACTCAGAATAAGTAGCAAAAAGTATGATAGGTCACGACTCACTACATCAGATAGCGCTACAAATGCAGTCACAGAATAACCTGCACACCCTCTGCACACAATCTTGTACATAGTTTAACTGTGGTTTAGCAGTATTTATATAAAGGTCACACCGGAATGTAAGACGCCCTGCCTGGTGGCACCTTGTTTTAATGAAAATCTTAGGTACGATAAAACCTTAATGGCATTACCCGTTCCCCGGTAGTCAGCATTACTTACCCTAACATAATCTGCAACACAATCCTTCTGTGTTACCTACTACGTGTCATGACTACTCGATCCAGCAGTTGCTACATTAAAGATATGCCTCTCACTTCTGCACTATTCAGCATAACCAAGACGAGGTCTAGATAGTATAGCGATGACACGCTACGTAAATATTAAGCCACTGTTATTATCAGATAAAGTAAAGCAATAAGACAGACGTAGTTGCATAGCTACAACTTTGCTACCTTTCATCTATTATCTATCAAACTGAAAGTGAGCTGCCAAAAATTAGCTAAAGGCAGATATACATACTCACCCACTGCTTAATGTAACGTATTCACTATGATGTAAGCCTTAGCCTGTTGAAATTTCAAGATGTTACTACATTGTCTAAGCCTGTTTAAACACCACCAAGTTATTGAGTCTGACTGACAAGCTTCATAATCATTTAACATATAAAATGTGCACGTATTAACATGTACCCTATTGTTACAACTATTACATGAAAGCATGAGGAATGCCGTTGGGGTACCGCATGCTCATTGTTATACCTCTACGCACTACAAAAATAAAGAATTAAAAAAAATAAAATAAATAAAAGTCCAATAAAATGTACAGTTAATAAAAAAAAAAAAAAATGTAACCCTTGAGGGTCAAAAAAAATATTTTTTAATCCTCAAGGGTTAAAAAAAAATCAGACAACAGTAAAATACTATGATCCCTATTTTTGATCACTGCAGTTATGATTCAAAAGGCATGGAAATAGTTCATTTTTGTTTGCAAAGTAATACCTATAGTCTAATATGCCTAGCTATATAAGACCTTCATTTGAACAGGATAAAAGTGGGGTGGGATTTGTAACTAAAACATTTGCAGAGAGACGTGTAACATATTCTTCTTTACCTTGTGGTCTCTGCACCCAGCGGCCGTGCATCTGCATGACTAACACTCGTGGCCTGTTTATGGACGCCGGCCGCTGCAGATACACAGCTACCACCACATCCCCTCACGTGATAGACGACGTCAGCGTGCACGTTTTGGGGTCAAAGATTGATCTTTGCCAATTAGATAGGTAAAGCAGGTATTGCCCAGTCATGATTTCCCTAGTGGTTGACTGAGGTTCCTGGTTCAAGTATCTTCTGGTTTTTGACTTTGGCTTTGATTTTGACTTCCCTGTATTCTGTGTCCCCTGACCT